GAGGGGCGCACCGTTGTGATCTGAGAAAACGCCTGGGAGGCCCGGGGCAGGACCATCACAGCTTTCTTCTGCCCACTGACCCTCAGGGCCCTGGACACCCGCACAGGCAGCCCAGTGCCCGGCAGTGACCCCCAGAGCGAAGCTGCACAGCTGCCTGGCCCACCCAAGGGCGCCCCAGGTGAGGGGAAGGGGCTGCGGGGCGGGACCTCGCAGGACGCGGGAGGTGAGCGTCTGGCTTCGGGGCAGGTGAAGCGAGGACCCCTCTGGGCTGCAGGGCGCAGCGGCCACAGCTCGGCCGGAGTCCTGCAGTTGTGCCGGGACAAGGGGAGAGCGGCACAGCAGGGAGGAGGCAGCGCCAGCCTGGGCAGGGTGGCACGCCCCAGCAGGCAGGCCCAGGAGCCCCCGGGCTGTCCCGCTGGGTGAACGTCCACTCAGGAGCGGGGGCCCTGGGGAGCGCCTCCTCACAGCGGCTGGGAGATGGCGCGGGCGCTGCGTGGGGGCCGCACCACACCTGCCCGCTCTGCCAGCGACCTGGGTGGGCCACCAACGGGGACCACGGCGGTCCAGAGGCGGGCCGTGTCGGGCCACACGGACACCAGCCCTCCTGTCCACGCACCAGACGCCGGCCTCTACCCCCGCCTAGCCAGCCCCTCCTCATGGCCTCTGTCGGCTCCTCTGGGCGTGGGCCAATGTGGGGGGGCAGGTAGTGGTCACCCCCCTGGCCCACGGCCCTGGGGGCAGTGCGTCCTTGGTCCGGGACAGCAGGTTTCCGAGTGACTTGGGCCCTAGGTCCTGGGCTGCACAGGAGGCTGCCCTCCCCCGAGGGCAGTGGCCCTGGCCAACAGGGCTGACCAGCCCGGGAGCCTGAGGCAGCGGGCGGGCGGGGCAGAGGCCCCTGGTAATCCGGCCTCTGCTCTGCGGCACCCGGCGGGGTCTCCGCCCCTGGGCCCTTCCAGCACCCCTCTCCAGTGGGGGGGCAGGGCGCAGAAAAGGGAAGCGAGGGGAAGGCGCACCAGAGGCGGGGGCCGCCGCAGACCCCCACCAGACCGAGGCCGGGGCTCCGCACCGCGGGGGCGAGAGGGCGCGGGCAGGGCCGGGAGCCAGGTCTCCCCAGAACCCGCGGTCTGCTGAACGATGCAGTTTTGAATTCAATTAAAGCGATTATCTGTTGTGCCGAATAAATCGCGGCCGCATACATCCTGCGGCACTCACACCTCCGGGCTCATTATTCCCTAACTGTTTCCTCCTGTTTATGCCTCTCAAATTAAATTGCTGATAATATGCGCCAAAATAAAAGACGAACGCACCTTGTCCCCAGAAAATTGATTCCCCTTCCCTGCGCCGGCGAGGGCCAAGTTTTATACACTCTGCTCCTGGTGATCATTAGTAATTCAATTTTCTTTTTATTAGCCCCCTTATCTGCTGAGCAATATAGTGGCAGAGCTGACCTCTTGCGCACGGGTAAATGTTTAAAATCTTTTCCCTGATTAATTTTGCCAGTTAAGAAAAAGAGGAGAAATGGCCCGGCTCTGAGCCATCACGATGAATAAAGCTTAATGTTGATTGTGATGGAATTTCCAACGCCAGGGAAATTGATTGAACGCGGCAATTACCCTGCACAGTAACTCAGGGGAGGTGGGATCGCCTTCTCCCGGCCGTAGCCTTTTGGTTATTTAAAACAATCCAATTTGCAAGGATAATTATGTATTAGTGTTTTATCTGCCACTTGAAATGAACAGGGGAGTCTCGATACTGGCCCGGCATTAGCAGGTTATAGCTGCAAATTACTCGATATCTGCTTTCTTTCACATAAAGAGGAAATTAGGCCATCAATTACCAGAAAGAGGCGGCTGTGCGGCTCGCGGGCC